TTAAGATACTAATGATGTAAATCTTTAGCTTTCTTACTTTACTCAAAGAAACAATCCTGAATAGGAATTCGCCAACTATAAAGACTCAAAAGTTTTGTGCTCCCTCCAACAGCAATATAAGACAGCGGCAACCTAGGAGATGAAACTACTTTCGCCAATCCAAGAAATGTCACAATTATTGTTGATATCATTCACAGTTCGATTTCCCTGGAGAACCTGAAATTTCTCTATCCTAACAAAGTAATATCCTTTTCTCAAACTTTTAATCTGCAGACTTCTCTTCTGCGTATCCATCTGTAAAAGTCCTCACATTTGGTTCCACACTTTGAGGAAGGAATATTCGCAGGGCGATTATTCCCTCAACAAACATTATCAATTATCCTTTTCTTCTCTTTTATAAATGATCATCATCTATGTGATACAATCAACCACCTCCCCTTTTCTTAGTCTTCACTGAACCCTCACATTTTCTATTATTTTATCGAAGTCGTTTTGATTTGCTTTAGAACCAGATATCAAATCATAATCCCTTTTCTTTTCTTCATTCCTGACCCAAAAGTAATTTATTCTTTTATTTTTGCCTACTTTCCATAATCACACCATATTTTGGTAATTCTATACATGTAATAAGGTTGCAATATCAACAACAATTTGAGGACAAAACTAGGCTTGAATTTGAGAATTCTTAGTTTTTATTTAGTGGTACTATAGAGATTTGAGAATTTTAGCAATAAACATAAAAAAATAATTCGAAGTTCTGACCGATCCATAACACAAAGAAATGTTTTTGGAGGCGTTGTGATGTCTCAAGGTGTACTTTAATAGTGGAGATGCGCAAATAAAAAAGTAATAGCTTACCAAGAACAGAAATTTGGAGGAGGGAGCGTTCATACATTAGCAAGAACATACGATTAATTGATTAATGCTAAAAATCAGGATTTAATATCATGAATTAATTTATTGATATTTATGCATAATATTGCCGATTATCTTAATAAGCACCGATTAAGGTAGGATAAGATGAAATCAGGAGATTAATCAATTATTATAAATAGATACACTTTTATACAGAAGATGGCAAAACTTATTTCTTGAGTTGAAATACTGGGGTGCAGTCGAAAATCAAATTAAGCAAATACACATAGATAGCTGGAAACAAGAAACCAACCATACTACTTATACTGCAGATGAAAAAAATATGGGCCAACTACAAAAATAATCAATGTTGTACAATTTTGGTAGAGTAGATAACAAACAAGAATCCGAAGAAATATTCCCAATTCGTTATTTGGCTGATGATTACAAGCATGCTTCTAACTTATTACATTTGAATTACACATCTTTGAGTAGTTGGCCGGCATTTTTCTTAAGCAAATGAATTAACTATACTATTTACACAATCTAAAAGCAGAGAACAATATGATTTCTGGACCTAAACTATACATTACAAACTTATTGTGAAAATTTAAGGAAGAAGGTAATTTGATGCAAGATGGGGAAAACAAGAACTGCAATCAAAAGAAAGCTCAGTAGGTCTATTAAGTGAGCTCTACCTTTATTTTGACTGCAATTTGAATTAAACTTATTAAAGACAAAATACTGTAAATTAATAAAGTATGAACTTAATTGTTGAAGTCTGCTTAAATTTTAGTGTTAAAGTATTGGAAATGAGATTCTAAAACTGCTTAGAATTATAATAGGAGCGGATATGCCTTATCAATTATTCCATTCTGTCCAGTAAACGTATATGCTTCCAATTTTCAATACTTTCTGAACCTCTCATAATTTCAATAAGTAAAAATTTACTAAACACAATATGATGATCGAAAAGAATATTTTTATTATTTCGCAGTTGTTCAACTAAATAGTATTTTCTTGGATATCTTTTTACAATAGTTTACCAAGAATTTATATTATGAAATTTATACTCATCAACTGAAAGATTTGGATTGGATAGATAATTTGGGCTAATTTGAGTATTTGCTTATCATAAATTTTACAAAGTAATTCAATTTCACAATGTGAATCCTTATTCACTCTCTAAGAATTTTCGTAAATAAAGGAAGTGCATTTTAATTTTGCTCTTTTGAAGCCCTGATCTATATTAAAATGAAAAGATGAAGGCTTAGAGATTTTTAATCAATTTTTTAATATTACTTTCCATACTAAATTCTTCACTCAATTGATAAGTTTTGTATTTCTTTTTTTGAGACTTCAACTTCCTCCAAAGGACAGTAAATTGATAAATCCTTAATACACTTTACTGTTTTAGAACTCCATGATTAACATTTATTCACTAATTATTCTTTATTGTCCGACATCTACTCTATCGCTCCTAGAAAAATATTTCTAGTTTGTGCAGAATGGCAGTCTCTCAAACAATTTTTAAGCCTTCTTCTTCTTTTTCTTTAGACGCCTAGAAAGTTGGCAAACTCATGTTACTTTGGCCTATCTCCAGCAATTTACCAGTTTTTCTTCTTGGTCTCCTTATAAATTGGTATTCCAAATAGAGACTTCAAACATATACCTTCAAATTGAAATTCTTTGATATTAGAATATCAGAACAAATTTCTCAAAGAGATGGCAAGATTATCATATCCACTTCTTTAACACTACTCCTTTATTGAATTATAACCCATTCCTTTTCTTAAGTATTTCTTTAGAGAGTTCACTATTCTCATCATAAAAGTTGTGAACCATTTTGAATTCTCTTCTAATTTAGAATGACTTGTTAATAACTTTGGTAAGTAATTATTCTGAAGATCAATCATTTTCCTTATTGTCATGAAATTTACATACCTGATACTTTCCATTTCTATAGCATCTAACCTCTACTTAAAAGGACTTGAGCTTTGTTTTCAACTTAGAAACCGATTTCTGTCTAATTACAGAACTTAAGTGCAGTTTTTCGTGGCAACAAAAAAGTAAAGCAAAAGATTACAATACTACTTATTCCATCTTAATTTCATCCTTCTATTTCTAATTTTTGTAATCAAATATAGTTTGTTCAAAATTAGAGACCTAGATTAACACCAAAACTCTTGAATGTATCCTAATTTTGTTGCATAGGAATATAAAACTTGATTTTGTGCTCTGCCACTGTTGTAAGAAGTTTGTCTTTGTTGTTTCCTTTTGCAAAAAAAATTACATATTGTTATATGAGCAAATCCTTATAAAAAGATATCCGTAGAATAGTAAAACTCCCCTGTCTCCCTTCCACGAAACAATCAATCATTCACTTCTTATGATCAAAATTTTCATTCGTAAAACTAAATTCAATGCTGCCAGCATTATATATATATTCTGTTTCAAAGCATTGCTCTCGCGCGAGCTTTTGATTGAATTTAACTCAGACATTCTTGATTTTCTCTAGTTATAACACCAACCTGATTTCTGGCAAAACAATGTGCTTTATGATTTTGAAAGATTTTGCATCTTATTTATTAAATGGTTGTAGAATAGTTGATGCAAAAATTTAAGATTCAGTTGAATGTAGACTTAGATGATTTTTGCATAGATTCAAAAAGATGTTCACCAGAATTAATGTGGCAGTTGTAGTATAGCTCAAAATATTTGATTTTCTTGATTCTCTTAAAATTTCAAGTTTGAAGTCAACCATCTTCCTTTTGAATGGTATGTTTATTGAGTCATCAGTGTGTAATGATGCGGATGGCAATTGCTTATAATTCAATAAATTGATATGAGTAATCAAAAGCTCAAGAGATTTACTGATTGTTTTGCGTAAAACAAGATATTGTATTGTCTGTATATTACAAAGTGCAGGATCTCCAGAATGAAGTTTCATTTCATCTTTTCCATCTTCAAATTAGTTTACACATTTTTAAAGTTGTTTGTACATCAAAAGAGTCTACTATAATTTGCTACTTAAGAAGCCCTTAATTAATTTCAGGCTCTCTAGTGTCTTAGATCTTAAATATTAATTTCGAAAAAAATTTCTTCATTTGCCTTCTAATCATCTATGTTAAGTATGTTTCTGAGGCTCACCATTCACTCTAGGAAAATATGTGATTTTGAGCTTTATAAACACCTTGCAATCAATTTCATCATTGAGGACTTTACTTGATCCTATTTTCTTTGCATACCAGTAAGATGTTCCACTTTTGCAATTATGATGAATTTGTTTGTTTATGATGACAGGATATTGCGAACATAATCATCTCAAATAATTGGTGCTATCAAGTATGTATTTCTCCTCTTAATTTATTATCATCTATGATGAAGATCCCCTTATTTTCTAAGTAAAGTATAAATCTAATTTTTACTTCCTGCTTAAAACTTGCCCAATTTTATAGAAATCTGTTCTCATTAATGGGTTAGTTATTTAAAAATTTGATTAGTAATCATCATAATAACCAAGCAATATCTTATAGGATTGTAATTTTTGATTATTAAAAATTAAAATTGCATAATATTTGAAATAATTGCTTATCCTTTCCTAATTGAAATCAAAATTAATGAGTAATTATAGAATCTATTAGAAATAAGAATCAATTGTAATCTACATATCTAAATTTTAATTGATGTATTTTTAAATTTAATTTAATATATTCTATTTATAGTATTTTCTGACCAATACTGTTTTTTGTATTTAAAGCATTTTCTAATAATCGTTTCTTTATTAAACATTATAATGATTCTTGACGAATAAGAAATTATATCTGGTAATTTAAAAGTCACACAGAAGTATCTTCTATCAACATAGATGGTTATTTTTTAGGATTAATGTACAATATCGATGTAATAAGAATTTATTAATTCTTTTAGACTTCCTTTAACAGAATTAATAATATTCTTGATTAAATTGTTAATGATTACAAAATTTCCTTTAGTTAGTAAGAGTAGCAATCGAAATAATTATAATCTCTTTTAAAATTTGGGTCATTGCCTTCATTAAAGTCTCCAAATGTTAATAACCCAATTCATAACGAAATTCCATTAATACGGGTTTTTATTGAAAATTAAATTAAAATAACAAAGAAATGCCTAAATTAAAAAATATTTCATAGGAATTATCAAATCCAAATATTGAAAGAATTAGTTTGTAAGTCAGTAATTAGAGAGTCGATATCATAAATAACTTCAAATTTAAGAAGAATTAACGAATGATGATCACTATAATCTAGAAAATAGGATTGAAAAAGGTGAATAATTCTTACTATTAAAGCAAAAACATTATTCACTTGGATTATATAAATAAGCAATTGAATGGCATGATAAAGAATTACATAAATCCACAATATATTGATTCATTAAATGTTAAAGGTATAATTAATTCAATATTCAAAGGAGATTGCTTAGGTTAATTAGGTTAATATAAATCAGCAATTGAACGTTATGATAAAGCATTGGCCATAAATCCACAATTTGCTCATTCATTAATGGTAAAGGTACAATTAATTCAATTATTCAACGGAGTTTGCTTAAGTTCACTATGTTAATATGAATAAGCAATCGAATGGTTTGATAAAGCATTTAAGATAAATCCATCAAGGACTAATATAGACCTTTTCTAACACTGCCATTAACATGTGTCTAACTGATATTATTTAATTCTATATCATCCTTTTAAAATCTTATTTTATCGCATATAATTCCTTTATGATGTTTTGTAATCATTTGTAGTATAAATTCTCAAATCTACAGGAATTTTTTTTCTTAAAATTAGTTCTTATTTTTAGGATTTATTAGTTTTACAAATGTATTTTTGTTCTTTTTTGTATTAACTAAATTTTAATTTTCATATTTGTAGACATACCTTATTTAATTTTACTCATATTAGGTCATATGCATTTATAAAGACTTAATAAAATTATACAATAATGCTTTACTTATTAAGCTTATTTGTATAATTTTAATGCAATTCAAAATTTCCGGCCAAAAACTATAATATTTTTGATCATCTAAAATAATTATTATTTATTATTTTGGTTCTGTTCTTAAACTACTGATAAACCATAATGTTAAATCAGTCAAAATAAGATTTCAATTTTAAGTTTTCTATCTTTTAATTAGATTTGGGAATTTCCTATAGTTTCCTAATATAAGCTCATAAATTATTTCTAAGCTTAAATCCTTAGGTCCTCAAATTTATGGTAGATGTATATAAACGGTTATTTTCAAATGAAAGGATTTCACATTTATCTCAAACCCAATGATTCAATATATAACATAAATAAATATTAAAAATCAAATTATAACTGAGATATTATGTTTATAGAGGTTTGATGCAATGAAAACTCAATTCTAAAACCTAACAAAATGTAATAATGTTCAGCTTTACAATATTATTTGCATTTCTTAAATTACTTGAGATTGATTTTACTTTTTGATTTCCAATTATTGAAGTTCTACTCTTATCAATTTTTCTTCAAATTATTAATTTATTTTGACGGTAAAAAGTCATAAGCCTCTATATTATTGTATTATATTTGGCAATTATGTTAAATACTAAATTTTATTTTACACTATCATTCTCTCATTTCTTAAATAATAAAAAACTCCATATTTTAGCAAAACTAACATTATTATAAATCTTAAAACTTTTTTTTATTTAATTAATTAAATAATATGCTTGCATAAAGTTTACAATTTAGTGATCTTATGCTATAGTCTTTTGCGAAATTCTTTATGCTTCATCTAATATTGATTTAAGCATCCAAATCCGAACCCAAATAAAATTAATTGTTATTTATTATAACCATTTTCTTCATTTTTAAGCAGCATAGATAATAATGAATGATGTTGAATAGCTTAATAATAAATGTTATATTACAAACTCATATTTCATCATATGCTATCAAATTGTAGAAATCTTCTAGCATGTAGAGTTTGATTAATTTCAATGATACTCCAACTCACACTTCATAGAACTATTATTAATTTTCAATAACATAAAATTATTCCCATATTCTAAACCCCTTTAAAAAATTACGAGGAATTTTAGATAAATATACTTTTGCAATGCTATCATCAACCAAATTTTCTTGTTTTTCATTAATTATATATTTTGAATCTGCAGATTCTTATATCACCATGCAAAAACTAAATTTTTAAAGCATTTAATTTATACATTTGAATAAATTGAATAGTAATTCATTTTCCTAGAAAGTTCCAAGTATAATTGGACAATTAATAAATTTCACATTATCTCCTTCATTTAATAAATTTGGATGAAAGAATAAATTTGGAATATGGTTGAGAAATTGAAAATTAATTTGGCTCTACAGCATCAGATTTGGACATGATGATTACAATACAATGAACTGCTTTTTTTGAATAAGGAGAATATTTTTCTAATCTAGCAAACACTTGCAAATAGTTTAAATAACATCAACTTAAGGCATAACACTAGATACAATTAAATCGTTAGATATAATTGCCTGTTGATTAAAGTTATGCAATATCTATTTGGTACATTTGCAATATTGTTTACTCAAGCAGGATGCTTCTACTGGAACTGCGTTTGCACCATTTTGATATTTTGAATCAAGCCTTTTTAATTTGTTTAAATTACAGCTCCAAATTATGGAAAAATTGTTTATAATGCATGTCGCTTATATAAATTATTAACTAGTTGCTGATTTCCTATAATTTACTATAAATGAAATTATTATAATCCAAAAATAAATTAAGAAGAATATGCGCAAATGAAGTTTAATTCAAAAAATTTGTTGTGCCTGAACATTTCACTACCACCAAATTTTATCTTTTTTCTCTTAATCTTAGGGATTAGTCTCTTAATTTCTTAAATCATCCAACATATTCTTAATTTAAATTTTAGTTTAGAATAGTATTCCTTTAAGGATTTTATATCATTTACTATTAAAATTATCTAATTGATATACTTAAAATTTCTTGATTACCAATTCTCGAAATTAACTTTTTGGGCTGTCACTTTAATCTCAGCATTATGAAATTGGCATTCAACAAATATAAGGGGCCAGGATGAAAGTTGAAAATCATTCTATGATAAATAATAATAGAAATTTTGTACTTTATTACTTTTTAAATTTCAATTTATCTGGTACTGATTAATTTCTTGAATTAAAATAATGGAATTGAAAAAAATAATTTATTAGTAATTCTCAATTTGTGAATTATTCATAGATATCACTTCACTGTATATTGTTCTAATTCATTATATGCTTCCTAAAACTCACAATCTTCTAGACCTTCACCATCTTAGCAACTTTTAGAAGCTGCTCTACAACAAAGTTTATTAAAGCCGTCTTTTATTACTTATAATTTACTAACAATTGAAGCATCACTAGAAAAAAGGATCCAGTTTGTTTAATTTATGCAAGTTCAGGCAATACTTAATTTTTGATTAGTTTATTTAAAGAATTTAATTTAACCAACATCTGAGTCATTAGTTTAAATTAATCATTTCTTTATAATATTACATTAATCTCATATTTTACTTTCTGATAATCTTATTAAAGTACTTTTATATTATCCTCTAATCTCTATCTAATAAATTACTAGAAAGCCAATTTAAATGGATATGATTGTAAATATGTCTAATTCCTTCAAGGGTTAATAACTAATAATGAAAGAAATTTTACATATCTATGTGTTATTTAAAATACCTATTAAATAAGAGAATTAATTAATGCAAGTCACTAAAATCAAATAGAAAATAATTTACACTTTCATTTTAATTTGCAGGAATAATGAACAAAGATTTAGGGAAGGAATAAAAATAAATATTAATGCTGTGCTTTGCTAGTCAACTCAAATAAATAAATCAGATTTTTTTATAACTTTTTAGAATTAATAATATTGAAATAAATGGGCATCATAAAAAAGACCTTTTTAATTTTCAATCATATCATTACTTTATTTTTAAATTAATTATTTTACTTTGTTTTTCCATAATTGCTAATGGATTTCGTAGCTGTATTTAGGAGATTAGGAATTCCCTAAACTCTAACCGAAAAAATCTTACTATAAAATTCATGTTTAATTATTCACTAAAACTAAATGCAATTAAAATGGATTTTTATTATTATATATTATACTTCCTTTTTTTTTTATTAAAAATTTTGTTTAATCACAAAAGTAATCATCTCCATTTTTTTAATAACTTTATATAAAATACATTAATCAGAATCAGTATCAGTTTATAAATTAAAGATTAAAATTATTTATGCTTGTAAAATAAAATGGTTCCTTTATCAAAATACTAACCATAAAAGAAAGAATTTGCCTCAATATTTCGGATGATTTTCTTTTTTAACATTGAGTATTTTGAAAATTTTTGAAACACATGTGCATGATGGCTGTTTCTTTAATTTCATTCAAAAACTATTCTTTATCATTTAAGTTTAAGTAATAATTTAAATTCAAATTTATATTTTAATTTAAAAGCAATTCTACGACAATATAATAGCGCTTTCATTTTAGTCAAATAACACGCCATTAATAATTAAGATTACATTGTACTAAATTCTATTATATGTGAACTTTACAATTATTTAAACCACAATTTGATTATGGTATTTAACGATGGAGAAAAATTGATTAGAATCCAGGATATAATGGCTTTATTTAGAATTCTAATTTTTCGATATTAATATTTATTTATAATTATTATTTTAATATTTCCATTTAAACCTTAGTGATTTCTTCATCATATGTAATTTAATAGTCATATCTGCTACTAGTATATGGATAATGTGATTTGAACCTATAAACAGGGTTCCTCTATACTTTCAATTAAAACCTAACCGTGGGTTAAGAATTTGCTTCCATCCAAAATATTAATTAAGAAATGTGTATATTCTCTTGTTTAAAGTGAAAATATCTTTATCTTTATGCTGTATTTGTATTTCTAGATGCACTTTATTAATCCTATTTTAACAATCGAACACTAATGAAATTGGAAAATCAGCCTAGCTTTTGAAATTAAAAATTGTGGTATATAATTTGTGGATAAACAATTAGCTTTATGATATCTTCTTGAACAATATCAAAACATTTATGTTATACAAGTGAAAAATTACCCCACAATGCTTATCTTAAATTTTATTAATTGAATGGATTCTGATCCTTGGAATCATGCGAGCTACCTAAACGTCGTCCAAAGTGTAATTTAATTTTCGTTCTTTTAGTTTTTAGACAGAATTTGACAAGTTATTAGAAGATGCTACCTTCTAATGTAGTCGTTAGCCCATAAGATTGGATGTTTTTGGGGAAAAAGATATGCTATAGTTTGAGGGAATGTAACACGTCATTGTTGCAGAAACAAGTTTGTTAGCAACCTTCTTATTTCTATAGAAACTTACTTGAATTATGAGGTTGGGTAAATTTGTAGTGAAGTTCCAATATCAATATGATAAATACTATTTAAAGCATAAAGCTTCTTCTTTTTAGCTATGAAACTTTAGTTTTAACTCTAGTTATTGTTTTGGCTGCCTTTGTATTCATTGTATATCGATAAATATTTGATACGTTCACTAAAAATAATTATTTAAGATTTACTTATAGTTTGTGAGGCAAATGTGGGATAAATTGATTACATTTTTGAAATCATGTAAAATGTAATAAGAGGGCAAATTAATGATTTAACCACTCTACCACGAGAATTTGTACCACATTGAGTATAAAATATTAATATTTCCTTAAAGCATTCTCGGTTGTAAACTTTGTGTCATTCTTTAAGTCTAATTTTTCAAAAGAAAATAAAAATTACTTTAACTTAAATTTACTTCAAATAACTAATCACTTTAAAAAATTCTTGAATAGTTAACTATTTTTTAATATTACTTTGTTTCAATTACAAAATCTACTTCTTTAAACTCTTTTAGTAATGGCAGTTCTAAATTCGATTAAATTTGCATTCTTGACTTAGTTTATTATGTTGTGCATACTTAAATGCTTTTCATGGCAGTTCTTGTTTATCTATGATACAAAAGAATTAAATAATGCTAATAGTATTTTATTTTTACCTTAATTAAGCATCTATAAATCTAAATCTGATTTTTCTCAACAATACAGTTCAGTTGTCAAATTATTTTAATTATCAATAAAACCTACCGATAATATGAATTGGTAATTAGAAATGAGACTATAAAATTCTTAATAATGGTATTATAAAATATCTTAATATAATTAATTTAATAAATGTTATCTGATTTTGATAGGAAAGTGTGCTAGAAACATAAATTAGAGATTTTAACTATAGATTTAAAATAATCAACAGCCGATGAAGATAAATTCCTTTGCATAAAGTGTCTAATGGAGAAAATCGATATTTCAAACATGGCTTTAGTAGAAGAAACAAAAATAATGATTAAATAAATGAAAAGTGAGTAATTGAACAATAAAATCAAAGATAATTAGATTAGAATTCAAAATTTCAAATAAATTGAATCATAAGTTAAAGAAATGAAAGTTTCTATCAATACTACTATAGACAAACTATCATCTAATTTAAATTAAAAAATAACTCAAATGGAGAATCAATTGGATGATTCAGAATCGAAAACTCTGGTCTCAACTTTTGAAGAAGATGTTAGAATTTTATCAAAATTTTATAAAGGATCATACAATTTTGAAATTTCTAAAGAATTTGAGCAGTCTTTGGATGATAATTCTTATCTTGATTCAATAGAAGAATAATTATAATCAATAATTAATTGTCCTAGGTTAATTGAAATCAAAGAATGTTTAGAAAGAACAAAAGTAGAAAATAAAAATAAAGATGTAAAGTAATTAAAATTACTTAATAAAAAGGAAGAAGATCCATACGTAAATATTATTTATTATTATTAAAAAATAGAAAACACCAAGTTTAAAGATTTAATGCAATAAACATGGAAAAGAAATTATTATGTTTAATTTGAATCCTGATGAAACTGAGTTTTCTAGATTGGCTTGTGTTGAATGTATTTAAGCAAATAATCCAATCAAATACACTACTTTAGGAGATGCTAACTTTAAATGGAATGAATATTTAGGATAAACTAGTGATTAAATTAAACGATTTTAGAATTAAAGATATTTGAAATCATCATAGATCATTGATATTCTTCAAGATATTAAAGAAGAACATAATTCTACACTTTCAGAAATAATAAATAAGGTAAACACTTAATATTCAATGTTCTTTTAAAATGAAATTAATGAATTTAATGGCAATGTCATTTGTTAAATGAATTTTGAATAAATCAATGGAGTTGCTGAAATATTAAGTTAATAAGATAAATTTTAAGTATTGAGTGAAAAACAATTTGTTATTTAGAAAAAAGATGTAAATTAATTAGAATTAATATCAACTAAATTTGGAAAATTGATTTAAAATGATTTAGTAGCAACTTAGAAGATTAATAAGATCTTGAAAGAATCAAGTTTTATTATGCCGAATGTAAAGGATTAGACAAAAGACATTGTATAAGATGATTAGAATTCCATTTAAAATTTCTAGTAAATTAAATAACTAAATTTATAAATAGAACATTTTAAAATATATTAGGCTATTTTAAATGATGGCTTAAATTAGTATGATGTTATTATGCGAGCAATAAGTAGTTTATCTAATGAATTTAAAGATGCATAATTATAACAAGTATAATTTTAATAATATTAGTAAGTTTAATGAATATGTATCAAAGATTCAAAAAGATTTCTCCTTAATACAAAAATTCAAAGAGTTTGATTAAATTACTAAAGAACTTAAATTATGTAAAGAAGAAAAAGAATCACTTTAAAACCAACTTATTGAAAATGATAATATGAATTTAGGGAATATATAAATAATAAATGACTTAAGGATACATAATTAAGAATAAATTACAAAAATCGATGATTTGAAGGATGAAAATGAAAATTTATTAGTAAAATTAGAAGAATTTGAATAATAAAGTAATATAATTCAATTATCATAGAAATTTAATTTGAAGTTATTATTTAGGAGTAGCAAACATAATTGCAAACATACTAAGAAATAAATTAGTAGAAATAAGAAATAATACAATAGTTATAAAATACTTTGGTATCAATTAAATATTTATTTAAATCAGAACTTGTAATTCTCTTAATCACTGACATTCTCAACAACTTATAAGCATATTAATAGTTCAGTAACTTAAAATGGAAAAGTTATTGAGAAAAGTAGTGAAGATTGTCTTAATTGTTGTATGTGTGATCAAATGATTCCTAAAAATGGGGTTATTTAATTTGCTTTTAAAATTATAGAAATGTAACATGTTATGATTGGAATTGGTTTTAGGGATATTGTGTAGAGTAAAGGTTATTAGAGTTGTTATTCTATTGGAGGAGGGTATATTTATGATATAAATATTACAAAATAGAACATATAATATATTTTATAATGGTTTTTGTTGGAATCATGATTAGTAAGACAAGAATGATAAATAAATAGCGTTTCCTTTTTCAAAGAATGATATAATAATAGTTGAAGTGGATATTTAAAAAAAGTATGTAAAATGGACAAAGTAATCCACAAATGAATCATTCGTATCAATTTATATTTATTATTAGTCTCTCACAATTGATACATCCAAAGATTTATATCCATGCGTACATTTAATTGGTACATGTAAAGTAGAGATATTAAATTATTTGTTCAAATGAATATTTTGGTGAATATATAAATATTTATTTCAGTTTACACCATTATTTATAACAGTATAAATTTATGGTATAATAATTAGTAAACTTTGCATGTATGGTTTACTATTTAAAATATTATTAATTTATTAAAATTGGAGAATCTATGCTCCATTTAAATTAATTTAAAATAATTATTTTATAAATTTGTTAAAAAAAAGTACCTCCTTCTAATTATTCAAAAAATTAGAAATGAATCTTTAGGGTTTGACAACAATTATAAAGTTTTCAAAAGAGCCCTAACCATTTCCAATAATGTAAATTAACTTTTTATAGAGAATTCCAAGGCTAGTGATAGTACAAAAAGGACTAAATAGCAATTAAAACTATTTATGCTCTTTTTAATATTTTTAATGAATTGGGGTTTGGGTTTGGGTTTGGGTTTGGG